GCTGTGGAGGGCAGTGTCACTGGCCCTCATATGTGGGATCCGAACTGGGGCCCTCTGGCATCCCAAGCCAGTTCTTAACCATCACGCCACTCGGCTGGCCCTAATCAGCTTTCTTTTTTGTGTCTTAACTTTTACATACAAGGTATGTCTTTAGCCCATGTGTATTTTTCCACATACATAATTTATAGTTGTTTCTGGGTTGATAATGACTTAGTCATTTATTCCATCTCCTTTCCTCCATTCTTATATTCCTTTTGCCTCTTTAGATTCAAACTATATCATGGTCTATCTGTATCTGTTTTCCCTCTGTGCCCCTTTTTATTTTTTAAATAAAACTTGTACTCCTTATGTTAAGTTGGATTTTTCTGAACAGATAATTTCTTGTTCTTGTGGTGGAATAATTGTTACTTTTATTCTAAGAATTGTGATGGGAAGGTGAGCTAGAAATCCTTTCCAAGCCTTAGATTAGACTATGAAGGATAAAATTATAGGAATTCTTGGTCATGAAAAGAAAGGAGTAAAAATTGACTAAGAATTGACTAATTTTTTAAAAGAACGATGTTGTTCTAGTAAACATGTTGCCAGGGAGCCATTTTCCTTGTGAAAAGAGCTAGAAGTGACTTTTATAAATACGAATGCGTTAGTATGATAACAGCCGACTTGAGATTTTATAGTCAGTGGTCTGAATTCTTATGGCCAAAAATGTTTATTATGGCCCATTATGGGTAGATATCTATGTCTATGTAGATATAGATAATCTCATTCATAAGGCTTATATCTTTATAAAATGCCTTTGTATATATTAATCTTTACATAAACTTCATTTTACAGCTGAAACTGGAGATCTAAAAGCTTATTAGTTACAAGGTTGCAGAGTCTTCTGAGCTTGTGGGCTTCGCACTTTCTTGTAGCTGTAACATGATTACCTGTAATATGGAAACATGTAACAAAACATTTTTATGTTATCTGTAACATGGTTATAGAAAATTTAATGGAATGTAAAGTTGGATTCTGAAAAAGGATCTGCTCTGACAAGCAAAAAAATTCTAGGAAGAGTGAAAGGTAGGTTGCAAAACCTAGGCAGGTGTGTAGTTTGGGACAGCAGTTGTTCCAGAAAAATGCTTTTCTACTATGTGCATATTGGATGGTTTGTGTTTGCTTCATTTGCTTAGAACATTTTGGGTGTGGGTTGGGAGGTAACTGAAATTATGTTGTCAGTCACTCTTCTTGTCTTGGCTTTGCAATTGTTTCTGTTTCTATAGGTGTTTTTGATATAATAACTTCACACGTTCATCTTATCTTTAATTGAACTATTTAACTTTAGTTGAACTTTAAGGCATATTCCAACCCTTTTTCCTGTGTTATGAAACTAACATGTTCCTATTACAGAAACTTAGAAACTTGTCACTCAAAAATAATGGCTTTTAATAATTTGCATTATTGACTTTCAGTCGGCTTTCTGAATGTGTATATTAATTAGAATTTTTTAAAAAAAATTGCTATGTGTAAGGACAGGAGGTATATATGGGAAATCTCTGTACCTTCTTTTCAGTTTTGTTGTGAACCTAAAACTGCTCTAAAAGTAAAGTCTAGGGCTGGCCAAATGGCTCAGTTCGTTAAGAGCGCAAGCTCTGAACAACAGGATTGCCGGTTCAATTCCCACATGAGCCAGTGAGCTGTGCTGGGCAGCTGGACGGTGACTGAACTTGGAGCCGAGCTAGCTGCGTCCCCCACAACTAAGATTGAAGGACAACAACTTGGCTGTTCCCCTTCCCCAATTCCCCAATAAAATCTAAAAAATAATAATAATAAAAAATAAATAAAAGTAAAGTCTGCAAAGAAATATATTTATAAATAAAGTCTGTAAAAACTTTGGTCATAGTTTTATTTCCTGAGAAGCTAATATATAATTTTATCCTGAAAAACATTTTGCAGCTGTGATAGATTTATATCGTATTCTTTATATATGTCATTAAAATTCTATAGTTATTTTAATCTATGTGGTTAGAAGTCAGAATCGTGGTTACTCTTTGGGGTACTGCATAGAAGGCAGCACACGGGTTCTGAGGTACTGTTCATTTTTGTGAAAATTGAGCTGTATACTTTTTTCTGTATTACATTATACTTGAATAAACTTTAAAAAGTTTTAATAAGATTAATAGGGATAATAGGAAAAAGAAATGTGGAGACATTTCAGGTGACTGTTTTCTTCATTTATATTCAAAAATCATATGATTTTAAATGATAGTTTATTTTTTTAAAAATGTGTGCTTGCTTAGAAAATAATAACTTATATGTGTCTATATATATTTTATGGATGGATGATAGCCTATAACAGGATTTTAAGGATTCAGTCATCAAAAAATAAGAGTAACAAACTAATCTGAAGTGTGAGAACAGCTTAATTTATTCTATAAGTTATATGTGAATAGATGAGGACCTTATCTAGCTTATTCACCTCTGTACCTTAACGCTTTTCTGATATTCAGCAATGCATATTTGTTAAGTCAATGAATCCCTGTTTTGGTTTGATCTACCATCGATGTCCTCTCATCTGCTTTCAGTATTACCACTTTTTAAAAAGGTACTTTGTCAGTTTGATAAGTGAAAATATCTTATTTGAATTTGTTTTCTATTATTAATGAGTGTAAGTTTTAAGATGTTTCTTAAATACACGGATTTAATTTTTTGAGAATTATCTATTTAGGTAGTATGGACTTGAGTTGTTGAGTATGGTAACCACTAGTGTCATGTGACTGTTGAACGCTGAAAGTGGAGCTACTTTGAATTGAGATGTGCTGTAAATGTAAAATATATGAAATGTTTTAGATATATTGGTTAAATAAAATATGTTATTAAAATTAATTTCACCCATTTCTTTTTGTTTGTAATGTGACTACTAAAAAATTTAAATTTACATTATATGGTAAACATTTCTATTGGAGAGGGCTGATCTAAACAGTAATCTAATCATTAAGTGATTAGGACCTGAATGAAGGTAGTATTTACAGAAGGGAAACTAAGGAGGGATTTTAAGAAATTACGCAGTATGCATATATACTGTATAATCCCTGTTACATTGAAAGATATTTTATGGTTTTTGTATGCTTCCATCATGGCTTTGTAATCATTAGTATGCTAGTTGAGGGCAAAAACTATGTCACTGTTTTTCAATTCTCTACATTTTTTGCTGAGTTCACAGGCAGTTGATTGAGCAAACAAATTAATAGGACATCAAATAATTTTATAAACTCAGAGCTTGAATTTTTAGAATGCAGGCAGTGATTCTTAGAGTTCTTAAACCCTTTATTTTAATATTGTTGTATCACCAGCTAGACGGATCAGTCATACCCTTTTTAAAAGGTGGAAGGAGGGGCCGGCCGAGTGGCTCAGTTGGTTAAGAGCTCGCTCAAGAGTTTGAGCTCTGAGCAACAGCGGTTCGAGTCCAGCCCGAGCTGAGCAGCCGCTGAGCTGCCAACAGGTAGCAGGATGGCTCAGCTTAAAAAAAAAAAGAAGAAAAAAAAAAAAAGGTGGAAGGAAGGTTAAGGGAACTAACCTCTAGTCTTAATGTAACAAGCTCTAGGTCATCATTTTATATTTTTCTTCATTTAGTCTTTATAGTAATTTATGAGAAAGATATGAGCCACCATTTTACAGATTAGGAAATTGAGATTGAGTAATTTTTCCTAGATATGCCCAACTTCAAAGCTAGCACTTTTTCCACTGTAGTTTACCATATCAATTAAAGTTAGCCATTTATTTTAAGTGATTTGAAGTTAGCCTAATAATTGTGGTTGATATGAAGTAAGTGAAAAATAATCTTTAAAATGAAATGTATGATAAATTTTGACAGTTTATGACATGTGTATTATGTATTTCATGTTTAACATATGAAAGGAAATTTAGAAATGTTTCCCAAAACCTGAGAGGAAGAAAAAAGGCATGTTTTTTTTTCACTCAATTACTTGGTGTATTGTAATTCTAGAAATTGCACTATAGTTCATGGGAAAAAATACAGTTGTAAAATAGTTTAAAATATTTCCTTTATTTTGTCTTTTAGATAAAATCAAAGACAAAATTAAAGAGAGAGATAAGGAAAAAGAGAGAGAAAAAAAGAAGCATAAAGTCATGAATGAGATCAAAAAAGAAAATGGAGAAGTAAAGATTTTGCTGAAAAGTAAGTTTATATGCAGTAATTTTAGTTGTACTGTATTATATTGTTCAGTATACTTGTTGGTTTAGTGATTAACATAAGAAATGTTATTTGGTGCTGAATTTTGCAGAGACTAAACATTAATGGCCAGAATACAAAAAATAATGTAATAGTGGGGAGTTCAAATCTGTATAGTAACATGTCTTTAGTATATTTATTTAGTGAGTCATTAAAAAGTAAAGGTTAAGCTTCATTAAACTGTTAGGTTTCTTAAATTATTTAACCCTCCATCAGGCGCAAATGATCTCACAGATTCATTGCACACAAATTTTCAAATATGAAATACATCTTTACTGTACTAAGTCACAAACACGACTGTTGATAGGTTACAGTAGAGGGGGAAGATACGGAAGCGATGAGTCACGATACTTAAGTTTAACTGTTAGATATTTTTACATACACATTTATATAATCTAAAATAAAAGGCTAAAACAATTTTAGCATGATAGGGATGGTGGAAGAAGTGATCTTTCAAATATTTGACAATAATTATATCATAGTCTGGGATTTAGAGGGAACATTTTACTCTGAGCTAAATTAGATGTACTGTTTTACTGTATGTTTCTTACATGCTTCAGAATATCCCCTTTTTGTTTCCCGTTTTTTTTTCTCTACTGTTACAATTGTCTTTAGTTGCTATTTATACATAGCGTAAGTGGTTGGGTAATAACACAAATCCTATTAATAAATCTAAACTATTTCAGAGAGAATTTGTGGTAGAATAGAAGTAAAGACAGTCTTAAATTCACTCAGCAAGGTAAGAAGCAGTGGCATTTGGTTGCTAGACAGCTAACAAATTCATTAACTGTTCTATCAAGTTGACAATTTGCAGAGCAGAACATGTAAATGACTTTGATTAATTCCATATTGAATTTGTGTGTTGATAAGCCTTTATATCTACATAAGGGAGAAAAGACCATAGCACTGCATGTGCAGTGAAATAACGGGTTAGTTTATATTATTTTAGATAAACAATATTAGATTCTGTATTTTCATTTCATTCTTTGTCATATTTCCAGATGTTCTTTGATGGCACTTTATTTAAGCTCTGTATTCTATTTGTCAGAACTTTATTTTCTGTAAAATTCTTCGACCTTGAAGAAACATGTCAGAGGTTAAGTTGATGGCTACTTACTCTTGGTCTTTTTTATTCTCACTCTCTTGCGGGTGCATTTTATCTATGTTGTCTAATTAGATTGTAAGCCTTTGAGGCAGGAATCAAATCTAACCACCCCAGTGCTATTAAAGTGGCTAATGGTTAATGCTTGAAATGTTTTCTTTACCCTAATGGTTTATTTAGTCAAATAGTCATTTTTTACTGGTTTAGTCAGGTAGTCCTTTTCTTATCCATTTGAATGTACAATGATGTAAATTCTAGTCACTTGGTTGAATGTTAGATTCCTCACATACCATTAATGTGTAATATGTGAATCTAGAGATGACATATGGTAACAAAATTTAAAATAGCCTAAAAAGTGGAGATTTTTTAGTAATATGCAATAGTAACCTTGACTTTAAAAGTAGATGAAAAATTTAGGTGGTATTTTTTTTTAAAGATTTTATTGGGGAATTGGGGAAGGGGAACAGCCAAGCTGTTGTCTTTCAGTCTTAGCTGTGGAGGGTGTAGCTAGCTCAGCTCCAAGTCCATTCGCCATCTGGCCTCCCGTAGACAGCTCGCTGCTGCTCAGCTCAAAGTGCCATGTTCAATCTTAGTTGCGGGTGGGTGTAGCCCACCATCCCATGCAGGAGTTGAACCAGCGTCCTTGTCAGAAGCACATGCTCTCATCAGCTGAGCCATCCTGCCACCTGTTGGCATCTCAGCTCGGGCGCAGCTCACTGGCTCATGTGGGAATCATACCAGTGATCCTGTTGCCCAGAGCTCATGCTCTTAACCAACTGAGCCCCTTGGCCGGCCCGCATCAGGGGTCTTTAAGACTACTCCCAGGTTTGATGATTTGCTAGGACTCATAAGACTCAGCAGATAAGTTGACTCATGGCTGTGATTTATTATAGTGGAGGATGCAAAGTAAAATCAATAAAGAGAAAGGACATGTGGAGCGATGCCTGGAGGAAACCATCCAAAGTCCTCTCTTAGTGGAGTTGCCAAGGTTCACTTAATTCTAGCAGTGAATTGTGACAACACGTGAAATATTGTCTACCAGGAAAGCTCATTAGAGACTAAATGCCTGGGGTTTCTATTCGGAGCTGGTCACATAGGCACCCTCTCTATAGCATGAACCAAAACTCCAGACTCCCAGAAGGAAAATAGGTTGTTCAAAATAAACCATATTGTTTGTACAAACAGTTTAGGCACAGTAAACCACTCTTATCAGGGAATAGTAGGAATCTTCCCAAAATACAAGTTCTCAGATGCCAGCTAAGGACCGTCCTTGCAAGCAGGCCTTTCTAAGGATAGCATTCTCAGGCATGTTATATTAATTCTTTTCTGCACCCTGTGCTCACTTTATTATTTAATTATACAATAGTTTGTCATGGAAATTTAATTCCTTGATGCTCAGTATGAGAATCTCGTGACTGATTTCTTATTAGCTTGCATTTTTCAGTTTCTGACTATTATACTACCTTTTTAATCCATCCTCATGACTGGAAATAGACTGTTGTGGCTATTTTATTTAAAAGTATCATGTAGTCTAATGATTGGTTATTTTCTGTTTTAACTTTTGTTAATGTGTTAGGAATACATGTAATACGATACTAAGCTTGTATTTTCATTCAAATGAAATTCTGTTTATCTTGGGAAACTATTTAAATTGTGCAATTTTACTCGTATTTTCAGTTTAGTTATTAATTACACCTAAGTCCTTTAAACTTTTTTTTTTTTTTTTTAAAGATTTTAGTGGGGAATTGGGGGTGGGAATAGCGTTGGGGAATCCGGGAAGGGGAACAGACAAGTTGCTGTCCTTCTGTTCTTCAGTCTAGTTGTGGAGGACTTCGCTTCACTGACCTGTGTTCGTATTGTGATCATTGCGCTCTTCCCAGCTGAGGCAGGTTGGTCGCCGGCCATTGGACGGCTGCTCATGGTGGCTCTTGGCAGCTCACGCTGGCTACCGGCCACTCACGGTAGCTTACAGCAGCCCACTGCAGCCCTACTGCAGCCTATGCCGTTGCCTACGACTCATGGCAGCCCAGATCCAAGTGGAGCTGTTGTTCACCATCTTAGCTGTAGAGGGTGCAGCATCACTGGCCCACGTGGGATCTGAACTGGCGGCCCTGCTGCTCAGAGCTCGCGCTCCCAAGCCAACTCTTAACCAACGCACCACTCGGCCGGCCCCCGCTTTAAACTTTTTTAAATTCTATTTTTTTATTGACTATTGCCTTTTTTCCTCGACTCACTTGGATTTTACTTACATGTAACT